TCATCCGCATATGCGGCCACCTTATGTACTTCTCCCTGTAAGGCGAAGCCCCCTATTCCCCCGTCCCATCTTACCGCCCCCAGGAAAGGTTCCAGGGAGAGGGCAAACAGGAGGGGAGAGAGAAGGCACCTCTGCTGCGTACCGTTGTGGATGTGGACCGGTGCGGGGAGAGCCCCGTTAATTCTGACCCTGGCGGTAGGTGTCGTGTACAGTGAAGGGATCCAGGTCAACATACGAGGGCCAAATCCCATGGCGTGTAGCGTTACCTTCATAAATCGCCAGTCCACGCGGTCAAAAGCCTTCTCCGCATCTGAGGACAGGAGAAGGATCTTCTGTGTCGATTGTTTTGCCGCATGGATGACATTCAGTGCACGTGTAGTATTATCCCTCGCTTCCCGTCCTGGGATAAAACCCACTTGGTCAGGGTGTACTAATTCCGGCAGGACTCCTCTCATGCGCGTTGGTATGATCTTCGTGAACAGCTTCAGGTCCGCATTCAATAATGAAATCGGCCTGTAGCTCGCGCAGTTGGTTGGATCTTTGCCATCTTTAGGGATAACTGTTATCGTCGCCATGAGTGAGTCTCTCGGAAATGTTCCTCCTTCCAGTATTGAATTGAGGCCCTTTAGGAGCCGTGGTAAAAATACGTCGCTGAACTCCTTCAGGTATCACACCGGCAGGCCGTCCGGGCCAGGCGCTTTGTTCAGTTTCGAGCTTTTCAACGCAATCTGTAGTTCTTCCAGTGTGATTGTGGCCTCTAGTTCTTCTGCCGCGTCACGACTTAGTGATTTAGTGACATGTTGTTGTAGGTAATCTGTGATCCGTCTGTCCTTGCGATGGCCTGCCTCTTCCGACTGCTCCATAGGGAGGTTGTAGAGGTCTTCATAGAACCCCCTGAATGTCTCCGTAATTTTCTCAGGCAGTTGCGTCACCTGTTGATCTTTTGGACTTGATTTTTGTGATGTAGCACATTCTCCTTTTTTTTTTTTTTTTTTGTAATGTCCTGGCCAGCAATCGACCGCACTTACCCAAGTATTCGTAGAAGAAGCGTCAGGATTTTCGGATCGTATACTGTAGCTTTTGGTGGAGAATGTCTCGCAACTTCTTTCTGTTCTCCCACAACTCTTTGTAGCTATCATCCGATTGGGTGGCCTTATGAAGTCCCTCGAGGTCTGCGATACGTTTAAGCAGGTCGTCCGTGCGTCGTTGCTGCTCCTTCTTTCGTCTTGTGCACAATTTGATAAGGTGGCCCCGGACGGCACATTTATGTGCCTCCCATATCGTCAAAGCGGGCACTTCAGGAGTGTCGTTCTCCTCAAAATATGTAACTAGTGCCGCTCGGATGTCTGCAGCCGTGGGGCCATCATTAAGAATTGTTTCGTTCATCCTCCATTGACGGTCTCTAGGTCGGAATAATGGGTACTTAATGCTTGCTAAGATGGGGGAGTGGTTGAAAAGATTTTCTAACAGATTGTGATTATTTGAAAAGCCTATCCAAATGTTAAATCAAAGCCCTTGTTTGTTTAGGAAACAAGATCATTTAGCCTCACCGGATAGTTCTATGCACAATTGAAACTGCTGGTACCTAGAAAAGAAAGTTCTTGATATGTATCTATTGACATTAGTATTTTAAACTGAATCATTGCAAAAAATATGTAACTCAATTCAGCTATTCCAATCCAGTAGATCTATATTGGGATATAGGAACTCAAGAAAGGACGGCAGTCCAATAGTTGAGAATGGGAGTTGGCCACACAGGGCAACTATCTAATGGCACATGAAGCCGAAATACTACCAAGGGCCAACTAAGGTACCCTGACAGCCAGAGCAAGTTAAATGTAACTTTCTGTAGACAAAATGGTTTCTCGTAAGGAGGAAGTTAGTTACGGAAAAGCGAGTCACTTTACATATACTGTACATACACACACACACACAGGGTGTACCAAAATCCAGAGTAGGATTTGACAGGTAGTCCATATTAGTCAATTTAAAAAGCGCAATTTCGAATCATGCATGCTTTGCAAAAAGATATGCAGCACAACCTGCTGGCCAGATTGTGGTACTGTTTTAATTTGTTTTATCTGTAGCCATGTAAATTTCAGTTTGAGGCAATTATACCTAGATGGCTTGGGATAAGGACCACCCCAAAATCTGTCAAACATTGCATTAACTTGCAAAAAAGATAAAAGTTTGTATATAAAAAAAAATGAGCCAGGGCAGAAACATATAATATTTGGAAGTATAATATTTTAGAATCTTAAGCTGTTTTTTACGGACTGACATGACGTTATAGCAGCTTGTAAATGTCCATACAGCCTACCTCTCGGGTAAGCTACCTATTGTATAGAGCAGAGGTCTATTTATGTTTTAGTGCCCCCTTCTGGCTGCTTCAAAATTAACAATCAGCAATGCTTAATAATTGTAAATCTTATAAATCCTAGTGTTATACAACATAAATGTGATATATTTAATACTACCCTTGTGTAGCAGCTGCTACCGGAACTACCTCAGCAATGTCTGTTTTCAGACATATTAAAGGACTCCCACTAATGTCTTAATTTAGCTCTATAAAGCATAAAACCACAATCTTAATATTTTGCATATTTAATAATACTAAGAAATAGTATTATTTATTATAATCTTTTGTCACATAGCTTTCTTAGATATTTTACAAAAAAAATTACATTCATTTTTCTCTTCGGGTAATAATAAGCAGAAACAATGGGGATTATTCAATAAACACAAAATTGTTGTAAAGTGAAAAAAACTCATTTCAAAATATAGGGCAAAAAGAGAAGGCATTATCTATGAGTTTAGAGACAGACCCATATTACTGCAGCCCAATAAATGCCTTAGCTTCGATTACGAGCTTGTTCTGTCAGGGCCCCCCTTTTTTTTTTTTCAATTTGACAATTTTTATTTTGGGGTACAGAAAGGAAAAAGGGGATGGGGAGTATGCAGGTGAGCCATTCAGCTCCAAGAACAACACATAGCGCATCTAACGAACCCCATCACAGCCCAGGAAGTACTACAGTTAATAGATATGATGCCGAAGGAAAAGGCACCAGGCCCAGACGGCCTCACAAACCTCTACTACTCCACATTCAAAAAACATTCTGTCAGGGCCCTTTTAACCTTTTGTGCCTGTATATCATACATGTTTTGTTATGTTCCTATTGTACAGTGTTGCAGAATGTGTTTGTGCTATAAATATATATTATTATATAAATAATTGTAATTGTGCTGTATAATTGTGTGCAACGTAGATAAGTATAACACATGCATGGTTATTTACTAAAGCATGAATTGTTGGGAATTTAAGGTTCATTTAAAATTTTATGCCAAAATAGCTGAATTGGAGAAAAAAAATATGTGCATAGTCGGCTATTTTCTCAGTTATTTTGCCCTAAAATGTAATATATACTTTTGCTGTCATTTTTGAATTTGCTTTGATATTTCAGCAATTCACACTTTAATGTGAATAAGTGCCTGGCTTTATCACTTTAGCATTGTCACTTTAATGTTTTCTGTTAGAGCACATCATTACCCTCAAATTGACAGCTTCCCTTTAAACATAGCAAAGAAACACATAGAAGTCGTTACATATTTTATCTGCATGTTATAACAAGATATACCTTGTGAGTGGATTTTTGTTGAAATGGATATAGACATGTTTCTAACTTCCACTATATAATCTTCATTTATTTGCATTGACTTGAGAAATAGAAAAATGTTAGTGACTAGAATGAATACACTAATGCAGTGATAAGATTTAGACTCTGGTAAGTAAAGATATTATGTCACTTATTTTATAACCCCCCACCCCTTTACTTTCATCTGGATGCAGTTTTCCTTTAATCATTCTTATGGATTATTTTCCAATATTTCTTCCCCCCTTCCTCAGCCCATTTGTCTGAGAATTTACAGCAGAAAGGCTAGTGAGCGTGGTCTTCAGATAATGCCTGATTCTGACACAAGATAACTCAAAATGGCTGTGCACCCAATGGAAAGAGGGAAGGTAGCAGGGATAAATTAATAAAAAATCAGTAGGGATAAATAAAGAAAAACTGCATTCAAAGAAAGTGTACAACACTTAAAAAATCAAAATCAATGACCGTTTCCTTTTGAGTAAATATATTTTAAAACTTAAAGACTTTATTTAATGAATGACATATTAACTTTCACTGGTTTCTCTGTGTTTATATTTGTGATGAGTTAACAATGACCCAGAATACCAAACTATCTCAGACCCATGCAACCCTGCTGTAAAACATCCGTCTCACTGGTGACCTGCATGCATTCTATGACAGGAATTCCAAGAGCGAATTAAAATTTTTAGGTCAAAATAGGGTTGACATTTAATTGGAGAATGTTTCCGTTTTGGCTAGTAAGGCTTGAAATTTTAATTCCCAATCATTCACATCTGACAGAATCCTCATACATACCCTGGGACTCCATCCAAACTGCTGCGAAGGACAGGTAAAAAGACTGTCTGATGGGAAGGTGTGGATC